TTTTAAATTCTATTTCAAAATTATGTGTGTTTCTTTTACAGATTTTTTACAATTTTTAGAAATAAAGTTTAAATAAATAAAAAGAACCTAAAACAAAAGCGCATATAAGTTTGAAGTAGTCTGAATGATTATCTGATATTTGTATCTTTAAAATATTTATTAAAAATAAAATTATTCCTGTACTTCCTGTACTTTTCGTATTTTTTTAAAGAGATTTTTGATAAATATACAAAAACGTATTAATTTGAAATCAAGAAATACATGTTTTTATTCCGTAATGATCAATTATTATTACTTCATGCTACGTAATAATAAAGGAACTTTGACGTTTTAATGAGCTAGGCTGTAGAATCTACGGAGGTATAATTGTGAGGGAAAAAAATAGAGCAAGTTATAATAGAGATGAGGAAATTAGGGTCACAGTTCATGAGGTTATGAAGAGCGTTCGCTGTTGAACCGTTATGTGGACATGCGTGTCGACTTAATCACTTTATCAAAGAAATAATGCTGATAAAGCTAATAAATATTTTTACTGTTAAGATAAAGTCATTATTCTCAAGACGAGAGTTTTTAAAACTAACTCTGCTTATTTTAATTAGGTTATCAAAAGATAAATTCTTAAATATTCTGAGTATATACTTTATATATAATCGTATTTAGCCCCGAATATTATTAACTAATTTTTGTTTTATAACATAAGAATTAGATAGTAATTTAAAAGTTTTTAATGCCAAATTTGCAAACAGAATATAATGTTCAATATATGTTATTTTTCCAAAAATTTGTTTTGAGAAAATAAACGTCAAGAAAAAAATTGTTAAAATTCAATATGATACAACATAGTCTTCTTTAAATTCAAATTTTTTGTAAATTGCTTTTTGTGAAAAATTTAACTTTTGTGCGCTCAATTAACTTAGTAGCTCGTTGCTGGCCAGTCATGCACGTTTTGTAGAATAAAGTGAAGGTAATAATGCACCTTTGGAACACGTAACCGATGTAAAATTCTTCCATCCAAGAGATTTTATGCTATCTAAAACGTTCTTATGAAGAGTGACGTGTCAAGAATCGCGACAGGAAGAGCGCAAAAGCTCTCGTATTTCCGCATGATCATTCGCCGCTTTGCAAAGTCACGACGAAGGAGCACGCTTTTTCGCCCTGCGAGCACTCCGCTCGGATGCGCCTGAGTCTCAAGGCCATATATGTAAGCCTGGCGTGAAAAATTCTTTAACCAGTAGAAAGTATACGATTAGTCATCAACGATTGTGCTCGCTTGCGCAGGTATATCCATTTGTTTTTGCGTACAAATTATTTTTTTATCGTACAAGTATGTATGTGTATGTGCATGTATGTGTACGGTTGCATATAATGAAGTATCTAAAAAACTTTCTGTGTCTCCTTCTCTTTTCTTCTTTTAATAATAATAATTAATAAATTGCAATGAATTAAACAAGTTGCTTTGAAATAATTATGTTCGTTTCCAATCAATTTTGTGAAAAATTCTGAAATACTCTTGAATGGAAGAATTGAATTTAATATAGCCGATAATACAAAGAATCAATATCGAAATCTGATTTTATTTCTCGAATGGCATCCAGAAAACATATCTGAAGTTGATACATTTTACGCGGTGGATTCTCGAGCAACTGCCTTCCGCTAAAACGAACACTTGAACGATCTACTATACACGTTAGGTATATAATAGCTACCATATACTCTCGTACCGGTCGAACTAGTTTCATGCTTGGTTCTCCTGCGGCCTTGAGGAACACGGACCACTACACTGTGTGTGTCGGTAGAGAAAACCTTTATGGTTTGCCTCACCCGACGTGGACCACGGATAGTATTCCTTGGCCTTCCGCAATTTCAGTCATTATAACCGTACATCTCGTGCCGCTCTTGGACAGATAAAGTGGCTTCGAAACTCGAAAACGTAGATTAAGAGCCATTTTCAAGATTTACGAAACAATAACGGACCACTTCGGTGAGTACTTCCTTGTTCGAGAATCGTGCAAAATGTTACTTTGTGCTGTTAAGTTTTTTGTTTCTTATTTTAACAATAAAAATTCTGATCGTGACAGTTTCATGAGATTTGTTAAAGTTTTCTAAACTTCACTACCGGTCTTGTCTGGTTAAACAAAACGGCATTAATCTAATTGCGAGAGGTAAATGTAAAATATTATAAAAACGATCGAATGCATTGTTGATTTCCGCAAACGGTTTGCCATTTGCATATTACAACACAGGTGTAATAAAAACAATAAACTGCAATCGATCTATTACGAAAGAGATAGCTTTCAGACGTACAGCTCTTTGTCAAGCGACGACAATGCAAAATGGCACGCCTCAACCTGGTATGTCAAGGCGGTTCCGCGCGACAAAACAGGATTACTTATGGTATCAAAGAAAGAAGGGAGACACCGAGAAAGAAATACGGAAAGAAACGCGGTGACTCGGACCGGAATGAGCGCGACAAGAGGACCTCTGGCCTATACTAATTATCCGCCGACGTTTTATTACGATTTTAATTGGTACGCCAAGCCGGCTGGAATTAGCTGGTTTCGGAACAATGCTCGAAACCGGAACGCGGCGTCCCGACGAGTGTAATTGAATATTTTGCAATCGTGACGCTTTCACGATCACGCGCGCACACCTTCTCCCGCATTATCGCCTACGCGAAAATATGTTATCAACGGCCGTTGCAAAATATAATGACGGTGTTACGGCTCACTGAGGCGTGGAGGACATCTCCACTGTCGCAGAAACGATTCAATGGCCAATCACCGTGATAGCGATATTTATCCCGCAACGAGAAGAGGCGAGGGCAGAATATCTCTCGATGAGCACTGGATGTCTACTTAGAGTACTGGTTGACGTTTCAAATATAGGTGATAATACGCACTGGTGTTTTCTAAAACAGTCTTTTTAATCGACAGAATCGTTTCTTACAGGAAGCAACTTGAATGAGAATTTACGAAAAGAGAGTTTCATAAATTAGAATTAAGAAATTTTTAGAAATTTTAAGAAATTAGAGATTAATTAATTTAATATCATACGGAACACACGTAACACATACATGTTTCAACATACACACATGTTTCAATAGAATTTTAAGTTAAAGATTATTTATTGGTAATATAAATAATTTAGTTTGAGTTATTCTTTAAGTATTTCTTGACTTGAAAAACGGGCACAATTTTCCAAAAACTCTATTAATTAAAATAATAAAATACCAAAAAATGTTCTAATTTATCAGTTTATGATAAAATATTATTATACAAGTACAAATTTCTATATTTATGTTAAAATATTTTTACATGACAGCACTTTGAAACGTGAATAACTAACACCCATAATGTTTTAAAAATAAAGAAACAAGTAATTGAATATTTCCACGTATGTACATAAAACGTTTCCTTTCTTGTTTCCTCGTTCCTATGTTGATTTATTACATAAGCACGAGGTATTAGTAGGATAAGTATCGAACGTGTTAATAACGCGAAAGTATTAATATTAATGCAGGTTTGCGATGTGTAATATGCATGTTTTTCAGGTGAATATTCCGCGTGAATATCCGGCGTGCCGACGAGCCGAGGATATTTCTTAATTTCGCTTTGGCGTTAACGTCGTATTATTAAAGCAAGTAGAGCTCCATTAGAGCAAGTATCATCGCCGAGCTCTTGGTATAAACCGTCGATACGAACTGCCGGTTACACCGGCAGAAAAACTATGCATAAAATCACGTGTTACGGACGCGGCAGGCGAGGCTAATCGCTGTAATTCATTCAGAAAGCCTTCACTCGTGAAGAGGTGTCAATGACTTTTATTTCCTGTCAAATCTCTAAAAAAAAAGCGTCATACGGTATTACGGTAGTGAAAACCCGATGAGGAGAGAGTGTCGACCTGGATACAATGTGTTCGATGAGCTTGAAACTTGTTATCGACGCGCCTATCGGGGTCACAAACGCGCCATCGATTGGCGAATGCGCGAATAGATATCTGCGAAAGTGATTTGTTACTCTTGTTCGATTGACAAGGTATTATTATGAGCAGATTTTTAGAAGCAATGACGCATCTATCTTGCGAAGGCAAATTTTTGCGTTGGAAGCGCTATCGGAAGATCTATCGAGGTCAATGAGATACGCTCGTGACGTGGGAAAGGATATGCAAAAGAATTTTGTATATTCTCCTGAAAAATGTCAAACTAATATGCACACGTATTACAGCGAAATATTTCTTTAAAAAATTTAACATTTTATGAATATTTTGAAATAAGTTTGCGATATTTTACGTATTTCTTTATGTATATTCTTTTATTCTTCAGTAATTTCTTTTTCAAATGTATCATTTGTATGTACTGTGTGTTGTTTTGTGTAAGAATGTCTGGGAAAATTGATTGTATTCTCGTACAATTTATACGTTGACATTTGTTAATGGGTATTATTAATCGTCGCAAGAACCGCATTGCGATATTTCAGAGAAGTTTTTGAACATCTCTTGTGTGTGTGTGGCTATGCTTTAATTATCAGATGAATGGAAGGAAGAATGAGGATGTGATATGTGGCTAGAGGTACTGTTAAATTCTCACCCTCTATTAGTAACAAGCCATTAATATTAATTAGATCGCGTAATCTTTTAATTTAACTTAACTAGGAAGTTCTTTGTCGAGAGGATACCAAGTTTTTGTCTTCGTATGCACTTGTAAATAACTAAAATTGCCTTCATAAAATCTTAATCAATTGTAATTAAGAAATAACTATCGTGCACATGTGTGACCTTTGTTTTGACTAATATAACTAAAGAGAAATTAAAATACAATTAAAATATAATTATAATATTGGTTTTACACAAAATCTAAATATTGAATTATGTTCTTCTATATTATCGAAAATAATGATTTTATTATTAATATTATAATGTAATATTACAATTTTTGGTTAATATTTAAATTAATATATTGATTTATTAAAAATATTATTAGAAATTTTTAAATTATTTTTCAGGACGTAATGAGCGAGTACGAACGAATCAAGCGTTCGTGCTTGAAAAGAGGTGAGCTCTGGGAAGATCCTGAATTTCCAGCAACACAGGCATCAGTTTTCTATCACCAGACGCCACCATTTCAGTTTCAATGGAAAAGACCGAAAGTAAGTTTATATTTTTTTATTAATATGGTTATTTTTATTATTTTTGATAATTGTCTTTAGTAAAAAGTATGTAAAACCATATAATTATGCACAATTTAATATAGATTGTATTTCATTTTTAGTATAATTGTATATTTATGTCTCTTTTACGGAAATTATACATTAAATATAATACATTAAATATAAATTAAATTCAATATCTAAAGTTTGTTTCTCTTGGTAAAAAATATTAGAATGACATACATTCTTTTCTTGTAATCAAGACATGAACATTAAGAAATATTCCTTTGTTAGTTGATACAATGAAGTCGTTCCTTCAGGAGTAGCTTGAAACTAAATTAGCTTCCTTGGCTCGCTCCAGTTCCTAAAGAACGGAAAGACGTGCAACCTGGAACTTAGGAACCGTAACGAAAACAGTTCGCAACCTTGACACGTAGTTCTGTCGCCTGCGTGTTTATAATCATGAAACAGCATGTCTTTTAGTTAGAGCAAAACTAACGGAACAATTCATTCCACCGAAAGGTCTTGTTCTTCGCAATTATCTTAATAACATATTTTTTATTTTTTATAACTTTTTCTATAAACAAAGATTCATACGTTCGTTAATAAAGGCATTGGATCCTTTATTCTCTGTTCTAATTTTCATATTAAACTGGGACAAATTTTAATTTCAAATTCCTCAAATCTTATTCTCCTTGAGTAGAGAAGATCCTTCGAGATCCATGAAGTAGTCGCACGGTTCTCAGAATATCAAAATAAAAATTAGTTGTTTGGCGAGATCAACGATCTTGGTTACGCAATTTGCACGATGAGACGGGAAACGAGCGGGCGACAGGTGAAGTCGTCGACGCGTAACTGAGGTCTTTTCTGCTTACCGAACAAAATATCGCGTGGCTGTGTCGAATATAATGATTGCAATAAAAGTCACTGACAGTTGTATTCCTATGACAAGGTCAACAATTGCGTGGAGAACGCGTGCGTGGCGTATGGCGCGCTTTTAACACAATCACCGAAAGATCGTCCTCGCGAATTGTGATTCCAGTCACGATCGTGCTACCGACCGGAAATACACGCCGAAAGAGGAGAGTATTACGCCAGCATGGGATGCAACTGTTGAAGAACAGTTATTTAATATGGCCCCGATTATTGCGATACGGTGCTTCGCATCGTTAGTATTGTATCTAGTATTTCTCGATTTGGTACAAGGTAACATGATCAAGGCGTGTACGTGATTATTTTAACGAATAATTATTTCTTTTGATTCTATAATTACATGTTACATTCCAGCAGAAACCAATAGAATGTAAATGCTTAATTTTTATGAGACATATGAAAATTTTAGTAGCAAAATTATATTAGATAGCAATTTGATATTTTATTACTTGTGGCAAATTTTCAGATCAAGGATTAGATATCTAAGAATTATTTTTCAAATATTTTGAATATTTTGCTTTTTACTTTGCTCTTGTTTAGTTAAATGGATATTTTACTAAATATTTTATTTATCTTACATATATATTTGATCCTTATAAATGATGTTAAATTTTATAATACTCACAACATTATATAAATTTTATTTTATAATTTTCTACATATTTAATTATTATTCTTAAAAGATAGAGTTATCTTAGTTTACTAGATGACGAAATAAATACAATTCCATTTTATGAATAATAAATGATAAAAGATAACGTAATAATTGCAACTTCAGTATTTTAAATAAGAAACAATTGCGACAATGGAAATATAAATTTTAAATAGTGACATATTTATTACTAGTCAGTACAGTAGTAATCAGTTAATTAACTATAATTAAGATGTAATAAATGAGCAATTTGTTAGCTTCCGTTTCAAAGAATTTTATAGGCTATGTTTATCTCTTAGACTATAGTACAACTTGTGAATATATTACGAGAATACATACATTAATAAAAAAATATGCATGGAGAGTCACTATTCTTTGTAATTGACATATGTTGAATCATATTTGCAATCATATTTTTATATTGTGCTACTTTATAATCAGATAAATATGTACCGGGTTTTCATACAATGATAAATAATATGTTACATTCCAATAAGTTTAGTATATAATAACGTCTTTATTATAAAATCAATATTAAAATTAATAATATCAATAAAATCTGGACTATTTATTTCTTAACTAGAATAATTTTTATGTTTATGTGTATGTATGTATTTATATAACTTTTATTATTTTCATTATTTAATAAAAATTCGGCTGATATTTCTGTATTTCTAATTTCTCGTTTTAATTTATTTAAGTAATACGAAAAAAATATATTTTTATACATAATCAATTATATTGTAATAATTATTAATGTTAGCTAAGCAGAAAGAAATTAAAAGTAAGTCTTTTTATTTCAGGAATTGTGCAATCGGCCCATCTTTGTCAGCGATGCGCCAGCTCAATTCGACGTTATTCCCGGGAAGATGGGTGAGTACTAAATATTATCCATTAAAAAAATAATTATATTGTAAGTAAACTTATACCGAGAATTTAAGAGAAAACGCAAAAGAATACTAAGCATAAGAATATATTATAGAAGCGTCATTGAAGTAAAATTTCCATAAATAAACGACATACAAAAGGTATCCGCATACGATAGAACTGGTCGTTCCGTTTTTGCTTTTCCTCTTTATCTCGGCAGTACGGAATTCCTTCGATAGGCATAATGATACGTTGTGCTCTTACACGTGTTTGAAAACCTTGAGCTTCTACCTAACTCTTTTTCTTCTTGTACGACGAAAGGTTACGTGAGTTCACTACCACGGGTCAGTAATCGAATATTAAACCTTCACAGCCATTTGTTAAATCTTGACAGAATATCACTTAATAATTGTTTATGTAAAAGCTTAATAATATGTTAAGTAAATATCCAAGAGAAACATTATTAAAGAAGTTTATAGCTTTTGTTTAATTTATTTATTAATAAAACAATGTCTTGTTCTTCTAAAGATATATAAATTATTTTCTATCTTGAAATATATATAATACATGCCTAGTTAAATAAATATTTAGAATTATTTTGAAATACCATAAAGGAAATATGAAAACAAATTAGGAACGACAAAATAAATTTTCCTGTGACTAATATGTATTGAAAAAAGACATTCCTTTTCGTTATTATTAATTTTTCTAATTCTTGTAATCAGAAAAAAAAGAATAACATTGAATTTTAATTGCACGATAAAAATATTAATATTCCTATGTTTTACATCAGTTATACGTAATAACTGCAATTCTTCTGTAGGTGATATCAATTAAGCAATTAAGCTAGTTATTACATTACTGTCGACGCTACTTCTGGGACGAGAAGATGTTACATTATAATTAAATAATTTAATATAGATAATATTGTAATAAACGACTTAGGGTGACATTAACAGTATAATTGTAATCAAAACTTACGTTCGCGTAATCATCTTCTGACAGATGTAACAGTTGATAAATGCATTCAGAACTCTGTATACATTAATTAAATTAGAAAGTTATGCTAAGTACTTGAACGCGCAATTTGCTCGAGCTCGAGAACGTATTCTACTAATTACTAAGTCATGAAGATAGTAACACTTGTTAAATGTTACGTATCATATCAAACGTTGAAATTATTTTTTGCAATTATAAATGTTACGATAAGAGCGATGAATAAAATAATAAGTAATCTTACCTATGATATCGGTGACTTAGCACTATCAGATAAATTATCAATAAATTATCGAAGCTTGAAATTCTCGATTTTTATTGAACAGGAAATCAAATCGGAGAGAGGAAACCAAACCAGTTTTCTACTTGTTAGTACAGACTAGATAGATAATAACCGTGACACTTTTTTTATCATGCGCCATAATTACTATAATCAAGTTTTACATTCTTCAACAAAAAATTCTATTTTTAATTTCTTTTTTGATAATAAAAGCCTGAATTATAAGCCTGAACAGCTATTATGTACTTTATCATCGTAGCTCACTCTTTTTATTCTAAACTATAATATTAAATTATAATTAAATAATTATAATATTTAATTACAAATTGTAATAAAAATATATATAAAATATAATGTATCATGCAGTTTATTTATTTTATTTATTTAATTATTAATTATTATATATTCTACTTTATTAATACAAATTTTAGTTTTTTATCAGTTTACGTTTCAAATGCAAGCAAAATATATCCGTTGTTCATTTTAATATGTTGCAATAACAATCTTGCTTTCTTCGAGTTTGCCCTGGCATCAGATTCATGACTGCAATCGTCCCAGGAAATTAGAAATGGAATACAATTTTACCTCGGACGCGAACTAATGCACCGTGAAGCATTCTGCGACGTAATCTCTTCCGCGGCTCAGATATAATTCACAAGTGTTGCACTGCGCCGCCGGAAGTCGAGCGCCCTCGAGTAAGCCATGCGGGCGCATTCCTGAAGATATAACTGCGTTCGCTGTAGCGCGCGGAACGTGTCCCGTTAACGTGTACGCAACAGCACGCACAGCCGAGCAAAATGACGACATGTAATTTGTACCGACCTACATAACGACACCCGCAAAATTCGGCGCTCTACCTTTGCGATCTGGTATATCGTCTATCTTCAGATTGGTTGCGATAAATCATAAAGTAGAAACATTCGAAATGTATCTCAAGTGAAAATAGTTCTTGAAAT